AAACCATAAAAAGAAGGCAAGGAACTCTCCTACCTCATGGAGATTGAAAACCACTCTACTAGAAGACCACTGGACTAATGAGGAGATCAAAGAAGAAATTAAAAAATTCTTTGAATTGAATGACAAGGAGGGCACCAATTTCCTAAATGTATGGGATGCAGCAAAAGCAGTAATAAGAGGAAAATATATTGCAATTGGGGCTCACCTCAAGAAACAAGAAAGAACTCAAAGAAACAACCTAATCTTGAAGCTCAAAGATCTAGAAAAAGAACAACAAAAAATCCCAAAACCAGTAGAAGAAAAGAAATAATAAAAACCAAAGCAGAAATAAATGAAATCGAAACTAGAAAAACAATCCAAAAGATCAATGAAACCAAGAGCTGGTTCTTCGAAAAAATCAATAAAATAGACAACCCCCTAGCCAGGCTCACAAAGGAAAAAAGGGAGAAAGCACAAATAAACAGGATCATCAATGAAAGAGGAGAAATCACAACAGACACAACAGAAATCAAAAGAATAATCAGTAACTACTATGAACAGTTATATGGAAACAAGTTCAACAATCTAGAGGAGATGGACAAATTCCTACAACTGTACACTCACCCAAAGCTAGATAAAGAAGAAATAGAACACCTAAACAGACCAATTACAAGCAGCGAAATTGAAATGGTAATCAAAAACCTCCCCAAAAAGAGAAGCCCAGGACCTGATGGATTTACAAATGAATTCTACCAAACATTCAGAGACGAATTAGTGCCTATCCTTCACAATCTCTTCCGAAAAATTGAGAAGGAAGGGACAATACCAAACACATTCTATGAAGCCAACATTACACTAATACCAAAACCAAACAAGGACAACACAAAAAAGGAAAACTACAGGCCAATCTCCCTAATGAACACTGATGCAAAAATCCTCAATAAAATTTTAGCTATCAGAATCCAACAATGTATCCATAAGATAATTCACCACAACTAAGTAGGATTCATGCCAGGGACACAAGGATGGTTCAACATCCGAAAATCAATCAACGTTATCCAACACATCAACAAAAAGAAATATAAAAACCATATGATAATATCCATAGATGCTGAGAAAGCTTTTGACAAAGTGCAACACCCATTCATGATAAAAGCCCTTGAAATTCTTGGGATACAATGAACACACCTCAACATCATAAAGGACATATATGACAAGCCAACAGCCAGTATCATTCTCAATGGTGAAATGCTGGCATTTCCATTAAGATCTGGAACAAGACAAGGATGTCCAATCTCACCACTGCTTTTCAATATAATACTGGAAGTCCTAGCCAGAGCAGTAAGACAAGAGAAAGACATACAAGGATTCCAAATAGGAAATGAAGAAGTCAAACTATCACTATTTGCAGATGATCTGATAATATACATAGAGAACCCCAAAAACTCCACAGAAAAACTAATTCATCTCATCAATCAGTTTAGTAATGTGGCAGGATATAAAATCAACACACAAAAGTCAGTAGCCTTCCTATACACAACAATAAATCTGAAGAAGAAATGAAAAAAAACCATCCCTTTTATTATCGAAACAAAAAAAATCAAATACTTGGGAATAAATCTAGCAAAAGAGATAAAGGTCCTATACAAAGAAAACTATAAAACATTGTTAAAAGAAATAGAAGACACAAAGAAATGGAAAGACATCCCCTGCTCATGGATTGGAAGAATAAACATTATTAAAATGGCCATCCTACCAAAAGCAATATACAGATTCAATGCTATTCCAATCAAAATTTCAATGTCATTCTTCAAAGAAATAGAACAATTATTGATGAAATTCATATGGAATCACCAAAAACCCCAAATAGCCAAAGCTCTCCTGAAAAAATAAAGAGGGGAATGGAGGCATCACACTCCCAGACTTCAAACTATTCTACAAAGTCATAATCATCAAAACTGCCTGGTATTGGAACAAGAACAAAAAAACAGACCCATGGAATCAAATAGAAAATCCAGAAATAAACCCACAGTTTTATGGTCAACTAATCTTTGACAAAGGAGCAAAGACTATGCATTGGAGCAAAGAAAGTTTGTTCAATAAATGGTGCTGGGAAAACTGGGTCGCTACATGCAAAAGAATGAAGCTTGACCACTAACCTCACACCATACACAAAAATCAACTCAAAATGGATTAAAGAACTAGACATAAGACCTGAAACCATAAAATACATAGAAGGAAATATAGGCGAAACACTACGTGACATGCACCTCAAAGACATCTTTACAGACACATCACCCAAAGCAGTGATAGTGAAGGCAAAGATCAACAGCTGGGACTCCATCCAATTAAAGAGCTTCTGCACAGCAAAAGAGACAATAACAAAAACAAAGAGAAACCCCACCAACTGGGAGAACATTTTTGCACACAACACTAATGATAAAGGACTGATCACAAAAATCTGCAAAGAGCTGATGAGACTCAACACAAAGAAAATAATCCAGTCAAAAAATGGGCAGAAGAGCTAAAAAGAAACTTCTCTGAAGAGGAAAGGCAAATGGCCAACAGGCATATGAAAAAATGTTCAACATCACTTGTCATCAGGGAAATGCAAATCAAAACTACCATGAGATACCATCTTACACCAGTGAGAATGGCACATAGTAAAAAAACTAGCAACAACAAATGTTGGCGAGGGTGTGGAGAAAAAGGAACTCTCCTGCACTGTTGGTGGGAGTGCAAACTGGTCCAACCACTATGGAGAGCTGTGTGGAGATTTCTGGACCTACTAAAAATAGAGCTTCCATAGGATCCAGCAATTCCACTGCTAGGTATTTACCCAAAGGACACAGAAACATCCATTCCAAAGAGCACCTGCACCCCTATGTTTAGAGCAGCACTGTTTACAATAGCTAAGCTATGGAAACAACCCAAATGCCCAAAAATAGATGACTGGATCAAGAAGATGTGGTCCATATACACCATGGAATATTTCTCAGTATTCAAAAAAGATAAACACATGCAATTTGCAGCAACATGGATGGCGCTGGAAGGGATCATGCTCAGCGAAATAAGCCAGAAAGAAAAAGAAAAATACCGGATGGTCTCACTCATAGCAGGAATCTAGAAAACTTAAATAAGGGACCGGGAAAATGAATAACTATAAGAAAGTGAAACAAACAAACAACTTGAACCAGAGACAACTATGGGGGGTGAGGGCGGGAGGGGAGGGATTGGGGTCAAAATAAAGGGATTGCAATTATATGGGGAATATAAAAATAAAATTTATTTTAAAAAATTATATGAGCTTTCCCCATGATGTTCTCTAAACACACTATTTTTTTTAAATAATAAATTTTATTTTTATATTACCCATACAATTGCAACCCCCCCATTCTGACCCCAATCACTCCCCTCCCACCCCCCACCCCCAAAAAGTGTCTCTGGTTCATAGTTTTTTGTTGATTTTGATTTTCACTTTCTTTTTTTTTTAAATAAAAAAATTTATTTTTATATTCCCCATACAGTTGCAACCCCCTCATTCTGACCCCAATTCATCCCCTCCCACGCCCCCCCCAAAAGTGTCTCTGGTTCATAGTTTTTTGTTGATTTTGATGAAGGACCTTGGAACACCCACCACTTTGTCTGGCTTATTTAATCTCTAAAAGGTATTTAATTTTTAAAATACCATGCATACCCTTATTTATTTAAATAGAATACATGCTATTTTATGTAAAATAATGTCAAATCTACCAAATTCTGTGTGGGGATTGTGGGTTGTTTATGTATAGATTCCCCCACATAGTGCACATGATTGCATACTACGTAGTCCACACGATTGCATACTACGTAGTCCACACGATTGCACACCACTATCTCCATTTCCTCTCTCTGTGGACACTGCGTATGTGGGCAGGGACAGCAGGTGTCATTCCTGTCCTGTGTGTTAGAGTTTTGTGAATTCAGTTATGTGGCACCTCACAAGGGGCTCTGGATGTTGTTGAACAGCACTGATGCCACCTGCAATAGCGGCTTTCAGCACTCAGTGATACAATGATATGATCTTAATGTGAAGCTTTTTTGTTTTCTCATTATGACTTAAAATATATGAAAATTCTTTATTTTACATCCTTTCTAGGAAAAAAAGTAGCTTGTCACTATAACAACCTGTATATTTTCATTCACACAGAATTGAAGCCCAAGATACTCTCAGGAAAGTGCTTTCTCCTGTCCTTGTCACTTCAGAAGTTGCTTTAGGCTCAAGTTGGAACAAATCCAAGCAGGAAAGAAAAGAAAGGAGAGGGGAAATCCCTGGAGATTTCTAGCCCTGTAGTTGCTGCTGTGCTCCCATCTGCAGAGCAGTGAGTCCACTTTGCTTTCCGCAGAAGTGCATTTCCCATGTGCAGTCTGCTCCTGCCAGGCATGTCTCTATGTCAGCTGCTGCCCTCGGACCCTCTTCCTTTCCAGAGTCACTGTGTCCAGGTCTGCACACTTGAGTCCTCCGTACTCTCCTCCCCAGGCAGCTTGCTTCTTGGACTGGATCTGTAAAACGCACTGTAACTGTGCAGCTTCAAGCAAAAGTCCTAATTAATTACGTGTTTGTAAAATGAATCCACAGAGAAAAAAATTATTTCCCTTTTCCAACACATGAGATTTCTGGAGTTAATTGGAAGAGATTGTGGAAAAGAAGTAACTGATAATAGGTTGCCTTTATTCTCACTTTGAAGTTTGTGCACCTTGTCCGTACATGCTCCATCCTATGGATAAGAAAGAGGACTAAACACCTGACCCAAACATAGCACACAAGAGCTTCTCTGCATGTGGTAGAGTCTTGTGTGGTCTCTAAGACTGTTAGTGAAAGGCACATATATTGTTTTCCTGAAAGAACAAGATGATAAGTTTGGAAATAGATGAATTTGAGATATCAGAAAGCAGTGTATGATTTTATTTGGTAAATTTTATTATAGACTGTGAAGTATGTTTTTAAAAAAATTTGCAGATTGCCAAATAGGAGCACGAGCATGGCATGGCTGGGCAACCAGACCTCAGGCAGTGATTTCATCCTCTTGGATCTGTTCCACGGCACCCCAGGGCCCTGGGTCCTCTTCACACTCATGGTGCTGGATCTCCTGGTGGCCCTGTTGGGCAACACCATAATAATCATCGTCATCTGGGCTGACCCTCTTCTCCACACCCCCATGTACTTTCTGCTCAGCCAGCTGTCCCTCATGGATCTCCTCTACATCTGCATGTTTGTCCCCAAAATGGCGGTGGACTTTCTATCTGGGGACCACCACATCTCCTTCATTGCATGTAGCTTCCAGATGTTCCTCTTCACCACCCTTGGTGGCTCAGAGTACCTTCTGCTGGGGGTCATGGCTTATCATCGCTTGTGGCCATCTGCCAGCCTCTGCGTTACCCCATCCTCATGTGTCCCAAGATCTGTCTGCTCTTGGTGCTTGTGACCTGGCTGGGTGCATTCTTCAATGCCTTGATCCATGTGGTGTATACTCTGACACTCCCTTTCTGTGCCTCCAGGGAAATCCATCATTTCTTCTGTGAGATCCCAGCACTCCTGAAAGTGGTCTGTGCTGACACTTCCCAGTACGAAAGGGTGTTTATGTCACTGCTGTAATTTTTCTCCTACCTCCCATCTCAGCCATTCTGGGCTCATATGGAAGCATACTATCCACTGTTCTGGGCATGGGAACAGGCCAGGCTCTCAGGAAAACCTTGGCTACTTGCTCCAGTCACATGACTGTGGTGTTCCTCTTCTATGGGGCTGCCACCATCAAGTACCTTCTGCCAAAGTCCTACCAATCCAATGTAGAGGAAGAAGTGGTCTCTGTGTTCTACACCATCATAACACCCATGCTCAACCCCCTTATCTACAGCCTGCGGAACAAGGATGTCACTTGAGCGTTTAGGAAGGTTTTCAGAGTGTGACAAATGTGGAGTTTTCTTGTATGTAATGTAAACCCATAATACGTTGCCATTTGCTTTGAAATGGAATAGAACATGTATTTATACATTCATCTTAGTAAACAGTTATGTTGAGAAATAAAGGGCAAATATATGTAATCACATACCTTATGATAAAGTATAACATCATATTTTTTTTAACATTTATCATGTATTTTCAAAATGCACATCTTTAGAAAGAGGAACTGTGATGCCCTTAAGCAATCTTCTGCACTAGGACTTACATGTATTCAAAATCTATCATTGTAAGTGATACAATGTGTTTTTAAATTACTTAACACTTCTAAATTTTAAGACATTTCCCAAAACAATGCTTCCTCTAATAACCTGACCTGGAATTTTTGAGCAAAAATTTATTTCTACATTATGTGTGTTTTATGTGTGTTAATATACAATGTTTTGCAATTTTTATATTGAGTAATAAATGACATGAAGTATTATTTGTATTTCAGGAATACACCCTAGTGATGTACATTCATATTCTTGTGAAGTGATCCCTGAATCACAGCAAGTTTACTGTTAGTGTGTAGCCTCCTGAGCCCTCACGCATCTCACCACAACCCCAGGATCACTCCCCCTGTGACCATCTTTCTTTCACTGTGTCTTATTTGCCTTTAGATTTCTATGTGAGTGAACTCATAGGTTGTTTGTCTTTTTATGTTTGGCTTATTTTCCCTGGTATTATTCCCTACACGTCCATCCATGTTGTCTTTCATCTTTTAAAAATTGTTTGAGGGTTTTCCATTATACACGCACATAGACACACATCCTATTTCCAGTATCCACCCATCCATCATTTGCACCTTAGTTTATTCACATTGTGTATGAGGTGTGATGAGCATAGGTGAACATATATTTCTGAATCAGTGTTTTCTTTTTCTTTGGATAAATACCCAGATGGGGAGTTGCTGCTTCATATGGCTGCTTTATTTTAATTTTTGTGGGACCTCCATTAGTGGTTATACACATTTCCAACCACAGTGCAGGGGTGTCCCCTTTTCTCCACATTTTTTTTTGCCAGCACTAGATGTGTCTCTTGTGTTTTTCATTTTAGTGCTCTCCCCCTTCTCTGCAGGAGAGACATCCTAGTATGCCCTGTTGACACCTAGAACTCAGATTGTAACTAACGTATGTAAACCATATTTTCTCTAAACATATATAGCTATGTTAAATATTATAAATAAGATGAATTAAGAGGTTAAACAATACAATAAAATGGAAAGATCATACTATTACCATAATGATAGTGGATATGATATTCTCAGTATATTTCCATGCCACTGCACGGAAGGTGAAGTCACAGATGAGGGGCTACACAGTTTTTCTAACAGGTCTGATGGGGCAGCTTGTGGTTTCGATTTACATTCCCTGATATTTGGGATACAAGCATCTTTTCATGCAGCTGTTGGCCATCTTTATGCCTTCCTTGGAAAAAGGTCTATTTGGATCCTCTGTCTATTTTTTCACTGTAAAATTTAATAAAATGTCAATGCATACAATGTAATTTGTGTCAGCTTGGAAGATTCAACTTGAAAGATTTCTATTTTAAAATTTTCTCTTGTTCTCGAAGCTTCATAGATTGCAATAGCGTTTTCTCTCAATAAAATTCTCAAAATTTAAATTATTATAAATCTTAGAAATGCTTGAAACTACTTTGCTGTGTAAAAACTTACTATGCTGATTATACCTGAAGAGAGAGATGCTATACTACCCAAAACATCATGAACAAGACCGTAAAGCTATTGTACTCAATTAAAAATGTATTTTGACCAAATCTAAAGAAGTTAATTTTTATAAAAAAATTAAAACTCAATAGACACATCCCAACTGTTTATTGGGATATACTATCAGTTCCTTTGTTTTGTTTCTCTATATTGCACATGTATGAATTCATCTGGTGTTTGTCTTTTTCCTTTTGACTTATTTCACTTAGAATCATCCCCTCCAGTCACATTCGTGTTGTCACAAATGGTACGAGTTCATCTTTTTTTATAGATGTAAAATATTCTACTGTTTATATACAGTTGAATGTGCGACTTTGCAGTTCTCTACTGTTATATTCTGTGTTATTTTCCCTAACCATCAGTTAGTTGTTTTATATATATGTTAGGTGCAATGAATTTGGTGTATGGATTCATTTTTATAATCTCCTCCCTTAACAAGTATATTGAACTTTATATATTTTTCTAATGGTGCCTTAGAAATTGTATGTAATTTTACTCCAATTAATAGGAAACTAAATAGTCCTAAGCTACATACATTATTATTATTATTTTATTTAAAACTATTTATTGATTTATGCATACAAGAACTGGGGTAGAAGCCAGAGGTGCGTGGGCTGAGAGGATTCACCAGAGACAGAGTGGGGAGCACAACAGGTTGAAATACACTGCTGAGTAGAACAGTGGGCATGATAGGAAAGGTGTGCTGCACATGTGGGTCACCTCCCTGGTCTGGGATCAAACTCCTGCTGCAGCTGAGGTTTGCTTCATAGTGCTGATGCTTAACCCCTTGTGCCACCAGGGGGGCCCTATATACGTTATTATTAAAAACATAATAGAGCACTTCATGTGTAAATGCAGACTATTCATGTGTAAATGCAGACTATTTGTAGCACAACTCAGGTCTGTTTCATACCCCTTGTTTCTCTGCATGTTTTACCTTTTCCCATAATTATGATTGATAATGAATCATATAAAGTTCTAGAGAAATTGATTAGTTAATAATTTTACCATTTTAAATATTTCACCTCACTGCTTTTTTACTGCATGGTTTGTTTGTTTGTTTATTTAGTTGTTTCACTAGCGAGAGATTGGGGAGCAGAGATGGCAGATTTCCTGAAATACATTGCTAAGGGTAGCAGCTGGCAAAACAAAAGAGATCTGCTGTGCCATATGTGGGTTAGCTCCCTGGCTGGGGATAGAACTCAGGCTGTAGTGGTGTTAGCCTGGAGACTTAACTCCTAAGCCTCCAGTGAAGACCCTGCATGGTTTTTAATTAGAAACCTGTATGTTTTTTCCCTGTCACTGTACTGAGGCTGTATACTTGCTTAGTTCCTTTGAAGACATTATCTTCATTGTGTTTCAATGTTTTTTTGAACATTATATTCTTAGATAGCAATGTTTTGCTGTGTTTCCTCCTATGAGTCCTTGGATCTTTCTGGACTGTGTTTTGGTGTTTATTTCAGGACATCTTGGCTTTTTTTCCCCAAGTATTTATTCATTTTCATTTATTCTTTCTCATTGTGGTATTGCAATGATGCATGTGCTATACATTTGAAGTCATCCCATGTTTCTTGGTTGTTATGATTTTCCCAATTTTTATTTATTTTTTGCTCTTTGTGAAATCTTGTATGATATAAGTTCAAGCTGGTTGATTGTTTTCTCAGTTTATGAGTTGACTGTGTTTCCATCTAAGGCTTTTTATTTGTGTTATGATATTTTTAAATTGAAGCATTTTTTCAATGTGGACTTCATGTTTGTTCTTTCTTACAATTTCCATGTTCACTTGCAAAGATAACATTTTCATTGTATAATTCATCCATTTGATTCATGAGCATATTATTCTTAGTTGCTTTAATTCCTTCTGTGATAATTGAAATCTGTATGCTCTCTGGCTCTGCTTCTAATGCTATGACCACCTTTGTAATATTCTGTTAAATGAGAGAGATGATGTTGTGGGTAATAGAGACTGAGCTAAGGCCTTGATTGTGATATTTTGTGTAATCTGCATGAAGTTGAGCTGAGTTTAAAGTTTCCATAGTTCTTGGTTCCCCCACATTCAAACACATATAGTGCCCACGCATGTGTCTGCATGTTTCTATAAGAATCCCTCCTTATATATATTCTGTATCTTCCACATTTTTACGTGTGATACACTGTTATAATACTAGAGTTCTGTAGCTATAGTGATGTGGTATGTAAGTGGAGTTGAGCCTATAATCTTAGGTATAATGTTAGGCATTCATAGGCCAAGTGTCTCCAAGAGTGACCTTCAAAAGTGTGTTGTAGTCTTCCCCGTTCCTGAGGTGAATGAACAAAGTGTGTTGAGCTGTTGTTGGGGAAACATCCTTCTGGGCTAAGGCTCAGGTGAAGATTATTCTCCTAGAGTGTTTGCCTTTGCTTCAAAGAGAATGCTCTGTGCTCTTTCACACAGGAAGGAGGGAACCTTTCATCCCTCATCATCTTGAGGACCTGGTGTGGCTCCTGGCCCCTGTCCAAATGAATGAGTTTCCCCCCACCAGCCACTCACCTTCCTTGCAAAGACTGCAGTTACAGGGCTTTTCCCTTTCCGTTGGCTCACCTTCACCTTGTAGCATTTCCACCTCAGCTTGTGTGAATGGCCAAAAATCTATAGTATTTTTAGAGAATAACAAGTTAAAAAGTGTAAAATTTTTTATAGTTTAATTTTTGAAATAGCAACACTTTTATGTATCTTTGTTTTAAAATTGATATTTGTTCAATTTTTTGAGCACACATCATTTTTGGAAAGTGTATTCCCTGAGGGAGAGGCTGAACAGTTATGAAGTAGCCATAACCAGTACTTCAGGGTCATGAAGGACGGTAGGATAATTACTACACATTTGCCTCAGGGACCGAGTGAAGTTGGAGACGGTATATCTGATGGCTGAGTGTGCAACAACACATTGACCCTGGGCTTTTGAAGCATTGGCTTCAAGGTATTTATCCTCTCGTTTGGGCAGGCTTTGTGATTCTGATCCTGGAAGAAGTTTGAAAAGTATCAACAACACTTCATAAGCAGCATTGATTTTGTTCTTGTGAGTAAGTAGGAGTGTTTTTCTCTGGAAATGTGTGAAGAGGTGTGTTTCCCTTCCAAGCTGATTAATATATAATGCCTATCCTTCATGGAAAATCTCGAAAATCCTATCTATTAAAATTATTTACATATCTAACAAATATTCACGTTTTATGTCCTCAAAATAAGCAATTTAGTGTAATTAAAACCATTATTTGTTAAATATTGTATAAGAAGGCAATTTCTGATTGAAGAGTTGTTAATCTGTTTCATTTTATTGTCAAATGGCACAATTTGCTAACTCCAGGTTTCAGGGAGTGGCCAATTTTATGTAAGAAAGACACATAATGTGTAATACCAGCTGTCTCTCTCCAAGTTCATAGTCTTACCTGAAAGACATTTTCAACACTCAAGGGACTGAACATGTTGTAATTGCATAGAATTATTATGTGCTTACCCCGTGATTTTCTCTAAACACACGCTACTTGTTGGTTTCATTGCTAGCCATATCCTGAATTAAAAGAGATCATTGTCAGATGTAATTGAGTGTACTCCCAGTTAGTTTTTCTCATTGGTAGTATTTCATGGGACTCTGTACACAAGCACACGTACATAGATGCATCTATGTCTATATCTACATGTATATGTTCCTTTTTTAATGTGGAGCATCATTTAAGTAAACATCAAAATACAAACATTGCATGAACTGTCAGGAACCTCTTTTGGAAATAATTTATTGGTGATTTTGGAGGCCAATGAAGTGTATTTAGAAAAAGTGGCATGTTAAGTTCCTTATAATGTTCATTTTAATACATCAGTACAAAATTAATTTATCAAATGGAATCATTGCTTAGCTCTCTCTGGAGGCTTAGAAGCTAGTGACTGCCCTGTGTTCTTAGAATAAGGAAAATTTCAGGCTCCATGAATATCTTTGTGGGTTGGCAGACTGTACGGTTCTCTTTTAATTCTCACTGTATGCTGTTCATTTCCCTGGGAATTTAAAGGTTGAGGAAAGGTGAAATTTGTATATGGTGTGGTAATGAAGGACCTAGGAACGCCCCCCACTTTGTCTGGTATATTTGATGTTCTAAAAGGTATTTAAATTTTCAAATGCCATGCGTACCTTTATTTATTTAAATGAAATGCGTGCTACTGTATGTATGATAATATTAAATCTACCAAGTTCAGCATGGGTATTGTGGATTGTTCATGTATAGATTCCCCCACATAGTCCACATCATTGCACGCCAGGTCTCACTGACCTCCATTTCATCTCTCTGTGGGCGCTGCGTATGTGGGCAGGGACAGCAGGTGTCATTCCTGTCCTGTGTGTTAGAGTTTTGTATATTCAGTTACGTGGCACCTCACAAGGGGCTTTGGATGTTTTTGAACAGCACTGACTCCGCTTGTAGTAGCTGCTTTCTGCACTGATTAATACAATGATGTTCTTTCAGTGTTAAGATTTTTTTGTTCTCATTATAACTTACAATAGATGAAAGTTCTTTATTTTACATCTTTCTAGGAGAAAAAGTAGTTAGTCAGCATTACAACCTGAATATTTTCATTCAGCACAGAATTGAAGCCCAAAATAAGCCCCAGGACACTGCTTTCTCCTGTCCTGGTCACTTCAGAAGTTGCTTTAAGTTCATGTTAGAGTAAGACAGGAAGGAAAGAAAATAAAGGAGAAAGGAAATCCCTGGGGATCTTCTATCCTCTCATTGCTGCTGCTCCCCCATCTGTAGGGCAGTGAGTCCACTTTGCTTCCTGCGCAGAAGCGCATTTCCCACGCCCAGTCTGCTCCCGCCAGGCATGTCTTTGTGCCAGCTGCTGATCATTGGGCCTCATTCCTCTCCAGGGTCACTGTGTCCAGGTCTGCATGCTTTAGTCTTCCATATTCTCCTCCCCAGGCCACTTGCTTTTTGACGAGATCTGTAAGACTTAATATAACTGTGCAGCTTCACGGAAAAGTCCTATTTAATTACATGTTTGTAAAATGAATCTTCAGAGAAAAAATTATTTCCTTTTTCCAACATGTGACATATCTGGATTTAATTTGAAGTCCTCGTGGAAAGGAAGTAATAGATAATTGTTTGCCTTTATTCTGACCCTGGAGTCTCATCCACTTTGTCGGTACATGCTCCGTATGATGGATAAGACAGAGGACTAAACAGCTGATCCAAAAATAGCACACAGGACCTGTTTTGTGTGTGGAAGAGTCTTGTGTGGTCTCTAAGACTGTTAGTGAAAGACACATATATTATTTTCCGGAAAGAACAAGATGACAATTTTGGAAATAAATGGATTTGAGCTATCAGAAAGCAGTGTATGATTTTATTTGGTAAATTTTATTATAGACTGTGAAGAATATGATTTTGGAGAAAAATTCACAAATTGCCAAATAGGAGCATGAGCATGGCATGGCTGAGCAATCAGACCTCAGGCAATGATTTCGTCCTTTTGGATCTGTTCCGTGGCTCCCGTGTGCCCTGGGTCCTGTTCACACTCACTGTGCTGGATCTCCTGGTGGCCCTGTTGGGCAACACCATAATAATCATCCTCATCTGGGCTGACCCTCTTCTCCACACCCCCATGTACTTTCTGCTCAGCCAGCTGTCCCTCATGGATCTCCTCTATAGCTGCACGTTTGTCCCCAAAATGGCCCTGGTCTTTCTGTCTGGGGACCACCGCATCTCCTTCGTTGGGTGTGGCTTCCAGATGTTCCTCTTCTATGCCCTTGTTGGTGCAGAGTGCCTGCTGCTGGCGGTCATGGCTTATGACCGCTACGTGGCCATCTGCCAGCCTCTGCGCTACCCCATCCTCATGCGCCCCAGGGTCTGTGTGCTCCTGGTGCTTGTGAGCTGGCTGTGTTCTCTGCTGAACGCCTTGATCCATGTGGTCTATACTCTGACACTCCCCTTCTGTGCTTCCAGGGAAATCCATCATTTCTTCTGTGAGATCCCAGCACTCCTGAAAGTGGTCTGTGCTGACACTTCCCAATACGAAAAGGGTATTTATGTCAGTCCTGTAATTTTTCTCCTACCTCCCTTCTCAGCCATTCTGTGCTCCTATGGAAGGATACTGTCTACTGTTCTGGGCATGGGATCAGGCCAGGGACTCAGGAAAACCTTGGCTACGTGCTCTTCTCACATGACTGTGGTGTTGCTCTTCTATGGGGCTGCCATCACTAAGTACCTTCTGCCAAAGTCCTACCACTCCCCCGAGCAGGAAGAAGTGGTCTCTGTGTTCTACACCATCATAACGCCCATGCTCAACCCCCTCATCTACAGCCTGCGGAACAAGGACGTCACTAGAGCGTTTAGGAAAGTTTTCAGAGTGTGACAAGCGTGGAGTTTTCTTGTATCTAATGTAAAATCATAATATGTTGCCATTTACTTTGAAATTGAGTAGAACAGAAAATGTATTTATACATTCATTTACATTTAACTGTAGAAAATAGATATGTTGATTAATAGAGGACAAAAACATATAGCTGTGTACCTAATGATGAAATATAACATGTTATTCGTTTACATTTATCATGTAAACTATTGCAGTCAGAAATACTCCAGGTATTAGAAAATTCATTTAATAGATAAAATACTTTTCATAAGTGATTATCGTATTTACTGTATTTTCAAAATGCACATCTTTCTAAAGAGGAACTGTGATGCCCTTAAGCAAATGTCTGTATACGGACTACATGTATTTAAAATCTGTCATTGTGAGTGATATAATGTGTGTTTTAAAGTACTTAATTTAAGTACTTAATTGTTCTGAATTTTAAGATATTTCCCAAAACAATGCTTGCTGTAAATATTGATCCAGAACTTCGGAGTGAAAATTTATTTCTACATGATTTGTGTTAATGTACAATATTTAATGTTGTTGAATTTCTAGTTTAAGTAATAAATTACAAAGTATTATTTGTATTTCAGGAATACAACTTAATGATGTACATTCATATCTCTTGTGAAGTGATTAGAGTGCATCAGAGCAAGATAACTTTTAGGGTGTTGCCTCCTGACCCCTCATGTTTCTTACCACAACCCCACACCCACTCCACCTGTGACTGTCTCTCTTTCTCTGTGTCTTATTTGCTTTCAGATTTCTATGTGAGTAAACTGATAGGGTATTTGTATTTTTAGGTTTGGCTTATTTTCCTTGGCATTATTCCCTACACATCCATCCATATGGATGACCTTCCATCTTTTCATGTATGACGACCTTCCATCTTGTCAAAAATTTTTTGAGGGTTTTCCATTATACAAACACACACACATATGTAGACAGACATACACCCCTCCTCTGTTGTCCACCCATCTATCATTGGACCCTTGGTTTGTTCCCATTGTGTGTGCTGGTTTGATGAACATAGGTGAATCAGTGTTTTCTTTTCCTTTGGATAAAAATGCAGAAATGGAGTTGCTGGGTCATATGGTGGCTCTAATTTTTGTGGGAACTCCATTAGTGTTTCTATGCTTTTCCAGCAACAGTGCAGGGGTGTCACCTTTTCTACACATTTTTTTTTTTGCCAGCACTTGATATTTCTTTCTTTTTTTTTTTCATTTTAGTGCTCTCCCCCTTCTCTGCAGAAGAGTCATCCTAGTATGCCCTGTTGTTGCCTGGAGCTCAGATTGTACCAAACCTATATAAGCCATATTTTCCTAAACATACATAGCTATGTTAAAGATTAACTTAAAAATAAGATGCAGTGAGATATTAACACAATGAAGTGGAAATATCTTGCTATTACTCTAATGAATAGCAGATATCGACAAAAGGAAAGATAAAATACATATGATCATTTCAACAGACAGGGAGGCATTTGGCAAGATCCAACATCTTTTATGATAAAAACTCTTAGTACAAAGGGGATAGAAAGAACATGCCTCACTATAATAAAAGCCTTGTATTCAAATGCACAGTTAGCACCATACTCAATGGTGCGACACTAAAAGATTTTCCTTTAAGACCTGGTACATGACAAGGATGGCCACTGTCACCTCTGCTGTTCAACACAATAGTGGCAGTCCTAATTTACATACACTGTAGGTGGGAATGAAGACTGACTGAGTCCCTACGGAAACAGTATGGAGGTTGCTCCAGTCATTAAAAACACATACACCATAAGTGCACCACACTTGCATTCTCAGGTATCTACCCAAGGAATACACAAACACTAATTTGAAGGGCTATATATACTTCTATGATCATTGCAGCACTATTTACAATAGCCACATTATGGCAAAACCTAAGTGTCAAATGGTATTTTTCTTTTTCTTCCTGGCTTATTTTGCTGGGCATGATCCCTTCCAGCTCCATCCATGTTGCTGCAAACTGCGTGTGTTTATCTGTTTTGATTGCTGAGTAATATTCCATGGTGTATATGGACCACATCTTCTTGGTCCAGTCATCTATTTTTGGGCATTTGGGTTGTTTCCATAGCTTAGCTATTGTAAATAGTGCTGCTATAAATATAGGGGTGCAGGTGCCCTTTGGAGTTAATGATTCTGTGTCCTTTGGCTAAATACCTAGGAGTGGAATTGCTGGATCATATGGAAGCTCCATCTTTGTCAGGTTGAGGAATCTCCACACAGTTTGATACTATTGTGATCAAAGGCATGATTTCAATTGATATGATTTCAAGCTTCATGACTTCATTGACATTAATTTTGTGATTTGATATGTGTTCTGTCCTGGTGAAGTTTCCACGTGCACATTTGAAGGAGGTATACTCAGATTTTTTTGATGCTATAAATGTCTAATAGGCTCATCTGGTCTAATTACTTATGTTAGGCTATTATTTCCTTGCTGATGTTTTTTGGTCTGATTTATCTGTTCACTACTGTAAGTGGGGTGTGGAATTCCCCTACCTCTGTTGTGTTGTGACAAATTTCTGTTTTGAAGTTTGTTAACAGCTGACTTATATACTTCAGTACTCCTTCTTTGGTGTCTATCCATATAGATTTAGATGTGTTTAATGTTGTCCTTATATATTGATTCTTTGATTATTATATAATGTCCACCCCATCTTTTGATCACTTTTTCAACTCAACTGTCACTGCCTTCTTTTGGGTCCATTTTTCTTCTATGGTTGTTTTCTAATTATTCTGTTTAAATCTATATTTATCTTTGGAGCACAGATTGATCTACTGGAGAAAAGAGATTTTTTTCCCCTGATCCAAACTTCTGTGCTGTAACTTTTGATTGGCATGTTCTATCTCTACATGTAGTGTGATTGTTGGTATGTGAGCATTTGCTACTGCCATTTTAGTTTGGTTTTCTGATTCTTGCTGTTTGTATCCTTACTTAGTTTTTGTGTATTTTCATCACATAGATTTAGATATTCGTGCTCCCTGAAACATTGCTTGTAGGGGAAATCCGTTGTTTGCAAATTCCTTCAGCTTTTGTTTATCTTAGAGGTATTTATTTCTCCCATGAATATGAAAGAGAGTATTGCAGGGCGTAATATTCCTGGCTGTAAGTTTTTAATCATTGAGTAGTTTGAATACATCATTCCATTTTTCCCTTGTCAGTAGGTTTCTGCTGAGAAGTCTAATGTAAGCCTGATGGGAGTACTTTTGTAAGTTCCTGGATAAGGGGGAGTACTGTGGTGATGAAGACAAGTGACAGCAAGTGTGAGCAAAGGTGTGGGGATAGGGGACCCCCATGCACTGTCAGGGAACAGTATAGTAAAACCCGTATTCTTCAGAACTTACAGTAAAACTCATATGATCCAGCAATTCCACTTCTGGTTATTTATCCAAAGGAAAAGACAAAAAACTAATTCCAAAATGCATGTGCTCACCTATGTTCCAACACCACCACACCCGGGAAACCAACAAGAGTTCCAACAATGGGTGGGTGGGTAGGAAAGCGGTGTGTGTGTGTGTGTGTGTGTGTGTGTGTGTACATGTCTGTGTATGGGGAGACCCTCACACAATTTTTAAAAAGATGAAATGTCACCATATGTGACACCATGCATGTCCTGGGGGGGGAGCAAGTCAGAGGAAGAGACAAATGCCCTGTGGGTTCACTCACGTGGAAATCTAAAAGCGAACGAGACACAGAGCAGAGGGATGATGCTTCGTGAAATACATCAGATGGGAAGGGCAGATACCAGATGGGCCAGTAATGTGCAGAATCTAGAGATGCCAAACTGAGAGTCAGAGAAAGACCAACTTAAAAACTAACAGTAGAAGCCTGACTGCAGAGCTGAGCATCCAAGGGTGGGTGCAGGCGGGGGCCGGCCCCTGGGCTGTTGTGGGGATGTGTGTGATCAGTGGCAGGTGCACCCAGGTGGCCAGACCTGACACTTGACTGGGAGGCTCCTAGTGTCCCCACACTTGAGAGAATAGATGATCACTAATGACAGGTGGCTACCAGATGAAAGTGGGCGTGGGGTGTGGGAGGCTTATGAAGTGAGGCAAGAGGATGAACCCTCACAGTTGCCTTGTGTGGTGTGTGGGGTAACGAAGTGTGAATGAGCAGTTCACAGGCAAATCACTGTGTTGTACTCTGCAAACCAAACTATTATTGCATATTAATTATTACTCAGTATGAAAACCCAAAATGTTAAAAATGGTATTAATATATTTAATAGAGAAATAAATTTTCATTCAAAATTCCAGGTCAGTGAATTATAGCTTGTATTTTTAATAGTATACTATTTTAAGAGAAAATTTCAAAAATTTTAAAAACTATCTGTGTTTTAAAATAAATCATTGTATTTTTACAATGGTAGTTTTGGAATATATCTAAAATTTTAAAGACAAAATTTTCAAGATGACATGGCTCTTCTCCCTCTGAACCATACTCTTTGAAAATTGACATATATGAAAAATTACATAGGAATAAAAATATATTTTACATGTCATATTAATAACCACGTCTACAGTGATGGTGACATCGGCTGCAAAAGAATATAAAAACCTGTACTATCCATTCAAAGCAAACACCATCGCCATTGTGGATTTACATTGGGTACCAGGAAACCTTATATTGTCATATTCTGAAAACCTTCCTAAAAGCTTGATTGACATCCTTGTTCCGCAGGCTGTAGATGAGCGGGTTGAGCATGGGTGAAAGATGTTTCTGAGATGATGTGGTACATATATACCATGGAATATTACTCAGCATTCAAAAAAGATAAACACATGCAATTTGCAGCAACATGGATGGCGCTGGAAGGGATCATGCTCAGCGAAATAAGCCAAAAAGAAAAAGAAAAATACCGGATTGTCTCACTCATAGCAGGAATCTAGAAAACTTAAATAAGGGACCAGGAAAATGAATAACTATAAGAAAGCGAAAATCAAAATCAACAAAAAACTATGAACCAGAGACACTTTTAGGGGGGCAGG